AATATGTTGACCACCATGATATCAATAGTACATAACAAGAGTACGAATGTGGATGCGGCAATTCTATTGAGTGGAATATATATCCAACCATATCCTCTAAATTTTTTCATTAAAAACATCTTTGTTATCGTTGCTTCTTTGAGTTGAAATGTAGAAATCAAGCATACCTGTTAGTCTTCTAATCATAATGCATCCTATGTACAGTGAAGAACTTCTTATCGACTATAGTTGTTTTTACTAAAATTCGATAATAAAAACGAAAATTTATTATATGTCACTTGATTGAAGTGAAAACAATACCTTTTCTATTTGAACATGTCTGATTTCACTTGAGGGTGGGTGTGGGTGTGGGTGGGCGTGGGCATGGGTGTGCTTATGGGTGTAGGAGTGAGTGTGGGTCATGAAAAGAACAAAACCCACACCTGTACTCCCACCCTACAGCCACACACCTGCCCACACCCACACCCACACCCACACCCACCCACACCCACACCCACACCCACACCCACCCACGCCCACACCCACATCCACCCACACCCACACCCACACCCACCCACACCCACACCCACACCCCACACCCTCAATATAGCACATGATAGATGCTTTAGTGATATCTATATATATGGCATTAGATCCCTTATCAAAGCTTCTTTAGTAGCTGAAAACTTTATTATTCTCAAACTTGTAGAGGGGGTCTTATAATTTTGGGAACCCCTGTATATTTGGAATCAGCATAAAAAACCTGAATCAGTCTATGCATGTTTTTACTTTCTTTTACGAACTTTATTTTTCTCGAAAATTTGAGCTGGAATCTCCTTGAGGAATTTGCCAAAATTTTTTTTTTCTTATAAAATTATTGAATCAATGAAAAACAATATATAAGTCAATGAAAAGTTATAATTACACAAAAGTGCAAAGAAATAAACAATTAAAAAGAAATTTGAGAAAAAAATCATTTTCAGACAGATCCCTGAGGGAGATCTCACGTAAAATGTTCGGAAAAAAACTTAAAATGTACATAGACTGATGCAGGTTTTTATACTGATTCCAAATATATTATTAGCTTTGAACGGAATTCGATTCTTTCCAATGAATATGAGAATCCAAGAAAATTTAGATCGGCTTGTTTAACAAAGTTCACTTCAAAGAATATTGAAAAATATCTGTTTTCTTTAATCCTTCTTTCTCGAGATATTGAGAAAACAGTAAATTGAAGTGATAAGAGAACTGTATAATTTCATGATAGTTTCAAACAGGTTTTACATTATAACTCAGCAAAATTTGAATCATTTGGGTTAAATTTATTATCATACAATCGAATACGATATGGATAGTTGTTTGACATAATTTTCAGTCCGAAATATCTTGTTTCAGAAGAAAGCACATGTGCGATTCATTATTTATAAGACAAAAGTGAATAACAATATTTGATGCAAACCCATGTCGTCGAGATCACTAATGTTTTCACGATTAATCTCGGTTAACCGTCAATATTTTGGAAAATCGCGATAAATCGTTGATTTTTTGAGTAACACAGACTTATTGTCATAAATTGTTGATTATTTTTAGATTTGTGATTGGTCAAAACTAATTGGAAATTTGTAGACATTTTCACCAAAAGAGTCTGAAGTTTCATAAAATGCCAGAAGACAAGTTTCTGATTCATGAATTTTTTTGTTCCTTCATCTACATAAACAAAGGAATAAACTTGTTAGTCTATTCTTGTTCAGTAGAATTATATCATATTATATTACATAATATATTACAATGATTGACTTGTGTTACAAATCTTTAATTGATTGCAACAGAAATATTTATTCCTTATAGCCATAAAGAGGAAGATTAGTTTTCAGTCGTTATTTATAGGCAGATTCTTCCAAACATCCCAACTAATTTAAGGATATCTTCTCAAAGAGATTCGTGTAATCAATTAACAAAGAAAATTGCTTCTCAACTTTTTCTTTTCTTTTGTTTCTCATTTAAACTTTTTTTCACAATAGATTTTGATTAATTTTTTTTATCAACAGAAATTTATAAATTTCTCATTTTTTTACTTTGTAGTAAGAACCAGAGAACAAAACGAATCACACAAGTTCAATTAGACTTGATTTGGTTTAGAGTGCGTTTGAAAAAGGATCGACGTGAGTGTGGAATATGATTTGAGAGGGAAAGCTACTTTTTTATCATCGACACCTACTCTTAAATTATTTTGTTTTATATGTTTCTCTTCGAATTTACTTGTATAAGTGTCATGGTTAGTGGATTCCTTATATTCATAAAAAATCTATTCTAATAAAAGAGTGGCACATATCTTCTTATTAAAAATGACTGAGAGGTCAATTTATTCTTATATTTTAACTTACAGATATATTAAATAAAAAATAATTTTTGTTTTTATAATTGACGTTTTTAACTACAGATTCTAAAAACAATTTATATTTAAAGGTAGATAAGAACAAAAAATAATTTTTATGTAAAATATATATAAATTCAGTTAGAAATAATTTTTATTTTTAAATATAAATGGCTATTATTCAAATTTATTTTTAAATATAAGTGAGGAAAAACAAATTATATATTTATTTTAAAGTAACATGAAAATGACATCCTTAGATTTGATTGGTAACATTTACGGGATTAATACAGTTTTGCTGAATATAACAGTGATGGGATCGGTTCGTGTTTTTTTGGAACCGAACCGAATCGAACCGAAAAAATCTCAAACCGAACCGAACCAAACCGATCGAATTTTTCAAAACTTTGAACCGAACCGAACCGAACCGAAAAAGTTTTAAACCGAACCGAACCGAACCGAACCGAATCCGAAACTTAAGATAAAGAAGGTTTAAAAGTTTTTATTTTTTTCTAAGAATATTCCTCTAAAAACCTTTATTGAAGACATGATTAAAACGTCATTAATAATTTTAAAAACGAACTAGAAATTTGTAGTAGAAATAATGTTAGGAACATGGGTATTTTCGTTTTCAGAATAAAAGAAATTTCGAATGATAGAAGACTAGTTTATTTTCAGTAGTTAGTCAATTTATTCCGCTAATCAAAAGCCGCTCAAAGTGTTTTTTTTGTCGTCGCTCAGTGCAGATATATAGGATCTACATTTTATATGATACACCCGTTTTAATAGAACAATATTAAGTAATACTTTATAATAAGTATTTACCACCTTATTAAATCCAGTTTTACTCTCAACTTCCAAGACTTACATGACAAAGAGAACCTAAAATTGAGAGAAATAATCTACCCATCGTTTGAAAATGGACAATTCCAATGACACTTTTAGGCTTTACTTATCGATCTATTTCGAAATATCATTTTGGTGATATTTTCTTAACTTAAATGTTCATGGTTATATGTTCCTTGAACCTTAAAAAGAAAGTAATGTTATCGTTATCAACTAAGAATTATTAGAACATGATAATTAATTGATACTTATATATATTTGAGTACTTCATACGGAAATGTAGTCTGTAAAAGGACCCACTGACTGAAACTAATGAGTAGTCAAGTAAAAATAAGAAATTTGCTACACTTTCTTTATCCATTCTTAGTATATATATTTGTTACAGATCCCTTTCTCTGTAATGAAACTTGATGTTTGTAAAATCTTCGGTTCAATTCAGCCGAAATTCAATTTTATTCAAATTATTATCTTTCCTTTTCTTTTTTCTTTTACGTATACATGTATTTTCATATATAAGAGAGAGAGAAATATATAAGTGAAATACAAGGAGAGAGATGAATAAATATCCTCTACTCCAGCCTAGACCATCTTATATAAAGAAGATGACGTCCAATGTGTTCTTTTATTGGAATGCCTTTACATTTAGAACAGAAGAAAAGAGTGATAATTTATTAAAATTGTGACGGCCGAATAGAAAAGTAAGAGAGAAAAGAGGGAGAGAGAAATAATAGGAGAAAAGAATAAGAAATAAAGATGTATTTCAGAGCATTCTAACAAAGTTAAATATATTTGAATGGAAATCGGTTCCGAATACTTCGTAACCGAACCGAATCGAACCGAAAAAGTTTCAAACCGAACCGAACCGAACCGATCGAATTTTTCAAAATTTCGAACCGAACCGGTTTCGGTTCGGTTCGGCTCGGTTCGGTTCGAAACCGAACCGATCCCATCACTGGAATATAAGTAGAAAATTCAACAATGTTGGATATACGTAAGTATAATACAATTGTATATAGCGTGCTTCGAAAATAGAAATTCAACTGATCGAATATGCACTACGATAATAAAAATCAAGTTGGAACGCGCTCAATAAGAACGAGAGTATACCAGCGGATCAAGTCGCTATCACAGAACTTAAAAAGAGAACGAAGAGACTTGTTCTATAGATATTAAAGTCTTAGAAAAAAATGATGTTCCCCACCTATTTTTTTCATGGAAGGCCTAGACTGATTCGTAAATTAAAAACAACTTTTCTTAAAAATCGGCAGTTTGGACGATTATATCGCGATAAGCTCTCACGTCCATCGCAACTCTTGAAAAATAGTTTTTTTTTAATTACCAAACGATTCTGTACAAAATTTAGCATCTGACCAAATATGAATTAACCAAAAAAAAAGATGGTTCAAAAATAGCTCTTATGTGTTTCCATTCTTTTCTTGAAGTAAATGTGAATTGATCGATAAAAGATGATAGTATCTCAAAATGATTAGTATGACGAATGTTTTATATAAAATCATGAATCGTTACACATTTTTTTTTCTTTTTATTATCTATGGAAAATTCTAGGTAATACAAAATAATCTCTTTAATCAATATTTTATATAAAAATAAATACAGTTGTCGAATAGAAAAATAAAATATTGGTAGAATAAATACTCTAATAGAATTATAGATTCTACTATAAAATTTTTATATGTGTATCTTATCCTCATTGATATAGTCACTCATAGTCAGCTGTACATCATAAAAAATTTCGAATGATGTTCGTTATAGATTAGTTATCAATTGTAAAATATAAGATCTAACCAAAACATTCGTTGATAAAGACTTGAACAGATTGATGATCATTACTCAGTAGAAATTTTCTTTCTTCTGTAATAAGCCATTGAATAAATTCTTTCCATGAGTCTTTAGAATTTCGATGACGTATAAATGTGACAGTCGAAAGATATTGAACACATTGAAGATATAATTGCATATATTCAATATTCGTCGTTCGTACTTTTAGATTTTCAATAGAACCAGATATTGTTGAACATAAATTTTTAATGAATGATCTTGAATCATCATCATCATCGTCATCATATGATATTCCAATAGTTCGAAGATTGCATGCTATGTTAAGTAACATATTTATTATATTCAATTCAAAGTAATGATGATTTGTTATGAACAACCAAATTATAGTTAATTGAGAAAAATCAGTCAAACTCGAAAGAAAATGACATGAATTTATTGGCAAAGTGAAATCGAGTGCAAGTTGAGTCATATTATTGAATATTCGATCAGTCGGATAATTTAACTAGACAAGATAAAACATAGATTTTATTTCTACAAATTATTTTAAATTGTATATTTGACTAAAATAATTAATAAAATTTATCTAGAAATTTATTCATTTGTCTATATATTTTAAATCTATAGAATTTCTAAAAAATTTTATTTTCAATATTGATCGATGATAAATATAATTTATATAGTAATATACTGCTATAAACGATATTAAGATTCTCTCTAATTTTTTCAAGAATTTTTGAATTGAACTCTTCGCAAAAATTCAGACATGTATAGAAAATTCAAATTTTCAATACAACTAATAATTGAACCATAGAAATAAAAAAATTTTTATAAATAGAAAAATTGTTCAATATAAACATGAAAAGAATATCTATTCGCATCGTTAAATAAATTAAGTTTATATTAGTACAAACCTTATGTGAGCTAATAGCATCTGTGATTTCTGATAAATCTAAACGTACACACCATGTTGTATTCATTTTGTCATTCTTTGTTGTAGAAGTGATGTATGATAAAGTCCCTGATAAAAGATTATCAGGAAATTCAAGATCAAAATCAGTTGACGTATACCATATTAGATCAGATCTTGCCTCGTTTCCTATATATTTGCAAGTGACATACCATTGTTTGTGCTCGATCCAGAAAGATGTACGAAATGCTTTGAGAATTTGTTCTATATCTTGAACATTTTCATAAATATAATTTTGCATATGAACATTAAATTTAAAATATTTAAGTAGAGCTAAATTCTGACAAATAAATTTTTCCCATTGAGATAAATGTCGTAAAAAAGTAAATGTCCTAGTATAGTTCATTATATGAAGATAGGTAAGTGATCTTGTTAGTGAAAGAAGATATTCAAGCTGATTGATTATCACATGTGAACTTCGTAATGTCAATGAAGTTAACTGATGGAATGATATTGAAAGATGAATCTGACGATCTTCATCCATATCATAATAATTCTCATCCATATCATAATAATTCGAAGAAAATGATCGAAGATTAGGTAATCGATCAAGAATACGACAAAATTGTTGATGAGTACAATGGTCAATATACAGTGTCTCTAATTTTGACTCATTTGACCATGATATTTGATAGATTTTGTTAAATATACCATATAAATAGAGTTCGGAAATACTTGATTGATTGATAACTGATGAGAGTAGATCGATTGTTGTACGCTCCTTCATATACTCATCGGATAAAGTTGTCAATGACAATGATCTGAATGTGGGAACAGTCATAATATGATGCAATATTTTATGGAGATGAGACCGATTTATACAAAATAAATCTAATGAGTTAACTCGAGTGAAACGATTAACATCGATAAGTGAAAGAAATAAGTGAATTCCATCTAATGTTCTACCTGTATTTATCAGGATCAATGAAATAACATTTTCAGGCTTAATGATTCGAGTTAGACGATGAATATCATTTGTTGGTGATGTACTTGTCAATTGAATTTTATATCGATTGTAAGAATTAGTTATTGCATGGAAAGTTTTACACACATTTCGGAATGAAAATAAAATATTCTTTGTATCAAGATGATCAAGAACATAGTAAAAAAGTTCGACAGGAAGTTGAAATATTAGGGAAGTTAATTCTAAAGACATTATTCGATTCGAATGAGGACTGTAGTTTTTTAGTGAATCTGATATCAAAGATAGTGATAAGAAACGATTTATTTATGTAGCTATGTTTGACATGGTTGTTTTTTTCTTCAGATTGAATCATGTAATTACATTCGTTCGTCTAGCAGAGTATTATGATCGAAAGAAAACAAAAAAGCCCAATAATATAATATTTTTCGATTTATATAAATATTGTTTGAAAATTGAGCAATATTAAAAATATAAATTATCTTGAGATTACAACAAAAATTTCAAAGTTAATTAATATTACTCTACAATTAAATGTAATGTAATCTATTGACAACGAGGAGAATAGAAAAAGTTGAGCGACACAAAAAAGATGTCACTATAAACAACCTGTTGTATATAAATATTTGCAAAATATGTAGGGTGGGTGTGGGTGTCGGACTCTTGTTGTCGTGCACCCACACCCTCACAGATCAAGTCCATTTACCTTAAATGAAATAATATGTGTAATAGAATATCTAGAGAATAAAGACTGAGCAATAATTTAGATTCATATAGGTTTTTGAAAAGGACAGGTTTATAATCTTCATAGATATCATCTTTTAAAAACTAAATAACTTCTGAAACTTCAGACTTCTAGTTTTAATTGATATTTAGACATTATTTCATGTTCTTTTGGTTTTTTTTCTCTACTAAGAAAACAAAGTTGATTTTTATTGATTTAGGAAAGATTGTTCCATATCTATATATATTCTACAAACGAATAATATGCTAGTGCTATTGATCTTGATTTAAAAAAAACAATTAACTATTCCCCCTGATTTTATGAAACTATCAGGTATAAGCTATGATTGAAAAGATTACAGATTATATATCGATTCATTTTTTCCAATGAATTTCAATGAAATGCAATCAACAGTTATATATATTTTCTACACATATTAGCAATGAATTAGACTGAACGAAAATTATATCAATTATTAGGTATATCAGAAATTAATGTTGGTGAATCAGAGAGTTGCTATGGTATAACAAATCAAGATATTTATCAAAACCAAAGCATCTCACTATTGAGTTTTTAGTTAGCTATGTATTTTGTTCAAAGTGAAAAGATTGGTTGAGTTAGTATAATTATTGTTAAAGTAATTTATAATTAAATCAACAGGATTTAACAATTGATAAAATTTTACAAAAATTAGAGTATGTTGATATTTTAAAAACAAAAAAACTTCTTATTTTTCCTAGCATGATTATCTTTATGTATTTATTATTAAAAGTAACATACAAGGTAGAAAATTGAGGGCAAATTTTATTTTTATATACAGTGCTGGTCAAAAATATAAGAGCAGACAATTTTTTCGCGTTTTTTTTATATATTCATATAATTTTTCTTATTTATTATTGTTCTTGATGTAAACAAATACGCATTTAGTTGTGTTTTATTCGATACTGATATGAGATTTCCTCATTTCAGATGTCAAATTCGAGAAAATACATCTTTATAAAAATCTTAATTTTTAAAAAAGTTTAAGAACGTGTCACTATACGTTAGACATTTCGCCAAGGGGGAAACGGCGGACTTGAAGTAGAAAAGTACGCCAAAGCACGTCAAAGTAGACTACTCGAAGTAGCTCAGAGTACCACCCAAGTAGTCCAAAGTAGGAACAAGTAGCTTAACGTAACTTTAAGTAACTTCAGGTACATTTGAAGTTGAAAAGTACTTCAAAGTAAGCTACTTCAAGTAGCTCAAAGTAACTTCAAGTCCAAAAGTCCGCCGTTTCCCCCTTGCATTTCGCTATAAAAGCCAAAATAGACAAAGGATGGCTTTTTTCACGGTTCTATATGGTTTAGGACACTTTTTATGGCAAAATGAGAGGTTTACCAACAATGAAAATTCTTCTGATAGAGACAAAACGTAATTTCTAGATTTGAACTCCGAAAAGTTTGCCATTTCCAGCCACATTCGATACAAAAATTAATGTTTACTTTCAAACCAGCGCCTGCTCTCTAACATAATGGTTCTCATCTTTAGCAAACCTCTGATTTTGTCATAAAAAGCGTCTTGAATCATGTGGAATTGTGAAAAAAGCCATCCTTTGTGTATTTTGACATGTATAGCAAAAAGTCTGAGTTGAAGTGACACATTTTTAATCCATTGTAAAAATTAAAATTTTTATGAAAATGCATTTGCTCGAACTTGACATCTGAAATGAGGGAATCTGATACCAGTATCGGATAGAGCGCAACTGAATGCGTATTTTTATGCACCAAGAATTATAATAAGAAAAAATAAAGAAATATATAAAGAAAACGCGAAAAAACTGTCTGTTCTTATATTTTTGGTAAGCACTGTATTAGTTAGAAAAGTGAACAATATCATATATAAGTTAAATCTTTTTTCCAGTTTGCCGTGTTGGCCATTTCTGAAAAACATACATAGAACTCTCAAGTTCTAGTGAATTATGTGTGTGACCAGTAAAGTACCTCAACTGATTCATGGCTTTGGAGACCAGAATTGTGTGCATTTTGTAGATTGGAAGGCGAGTTCTGATTCTTTTAATTTTTTTCTTGAGTGAATAGTACGAATTTATGGTAGTTTTAAATTGTTCCCTCAGCAATATCAGAAGACTTGATTTTAGTATTTTCAACTTTAATGTTTGTACAAAGGTGAAGTTTTTGATTTGCTTCTATCCTAAAATGAAGACACTGAATCAGCTGTTATATATGTAGGATTGTAAGGACACATGCCTTTATGATAGCAATATTTTCACTGAATTACAATTATCATGCCGTAATGGGAACTAAACTTCAGTCACTAGAAAAGTTATACAGTTGCTTTTATATACAATGAGTGATATATATAAAGCATGCATGAAATAAGAATGATATTGTTTGAGTTACAACTGAGCTGTTCATTATTCTTTCTCTTGGCTAAATTTTATCTTCTTTCCTCTCATCTGAACATATTATTAAATAAGTTTTTCGCCACACACTGTCTTCGCATGAATTTTGATAATCATTATAGATTATCAAATCCATGTCTCTTCTGCTCGTAATATCATAATATCATGTAGTCATGGATCTTTTTTCGGTGTTATCAATACTCATCCAAACTTCCATAAAGGTATTATATACTTGGAAATTTTAGTAGTCTAGGTTATGATTGTAACCGAAACTTCGAAAAGTATTTTTTTCTGTGGTGTGTAAACGAAAATATTTTTGCACCTTGTCTCGACTGGCAAGTGATAAATCATTTGGAAGAGTTCTCTTACGGCTTCGATTTTAATGATAGTGTAATTATTTATGAATAAAATCGTAATGGTGATGAACGTAACATAGCATTTCTTGGTCATGATTGTTTTCCATATTCATTCAGTGTTGCATTTAGTCGTCGTCCATCATTGCAACTACAAAATAAAAAAAGCCAATAATGGAGTATATTAAACTTTATTATCTTTCTTCTAACCGACAAACCTAAATGTATGTAGAAAATATAATGATGGTTTATTACATTTGTATTTATTGATAGTAAATCAATCATTTGTGTTTTAGTATTCTGAACATTTTTAATTTATGAATAATGAAAATAATCGAACATATGCATTAAATTATAGTTTTCATTAACAGGTTAACCCAAATCAAAACTGTGTACTAATTTGATATGGCTTTGATAGTACAAAATAATTGATTTTGAAGAAAAAATATAAAATATTTATTTGAATATTTTAGATGAAGAAAATTATGAATGTCATTGTAATTTCGGTTCATGTCTATCAATGCATTAGTATAGTTTTTAACATAAAAGAACTTATGATATGTTTTTGTTTCCAGAGATTTCGTTGCGATAGTTATCGACAACGGTCTAATATGATAGTAATAAATTAAATTGTGGTATTCGTACATTTACTCATTATCAATTTAAATGTAAATATCATCAACGTATACTAATATGATATGAATGTGATTTCAACAGTTATTGTAGTGATAATAGTGACAAAAATTCCAATTGCTTTAGATGGCAAATTTCAGAATTAACACAAAATCTATTTGTTATATTATGTGTAAGGAAAAAGTTTTAGCTATTGAATATATTATTTAAATGATTTTTCTTTTCTTGGCGATATATTACTAAAAATTTGGAGTCACCTACTGATCGCATATCCTCTGATTCTCATTATAGGTGTTTGACTTCAATTGATTTATTCCAACTTAATTTTTTCACATTCAACCGATTCATAAAATAAAATCATTGTTGGTCAACTAAGATGTAACAGTGTATTGAAAACTAAAATAGTTCAGTACTGTCTGATTTTGTTTAATATTCGTAAATTGAAGTGTGATAAACAAGTAATGAAGAAACGCGTCTCAAAACAAATAGAAGAGCACAATCTTCCTATATTCTTCATGATAGCTATGTCGTGTTTTACCTTTTGGTACAATACTAAAGATAGTTTTTCAGTCAAATACCGATAATCGATCGGGTTTTTATCTAATAGATAGCACATATATATTCTTTTACTTCTCATTAGTAGAGTCTTAACGTTTATCTAATTACAAGAAATTGACTGACGAAAGTTTTCTTATGG